CAAAATACAGACTTGAAATCTAACAAGAAGTTCAAGAAGAAGTGGCAGAACTAGATTAAACAGATGAGTACAAGAACAACACCAGAAAGGTGAGCTAGAACTCCAAGAGATGTGTTGTCGAGACTGAAGAACTCTTCAGCCTCGATCCCTATATATACTCCTACTTAGGAAGCTTCTCGAGCTACTTCTATTAACTAGGAAGCTTCTAGAAGGTTCCAGAGGCTTTCTTTCTAGAAGATTCTAGAAACTTCTCGAGCTACTTCTATTAACTAGGAAGCTTCTAAAAAGTTCCAAGAGATTCCTTTCTAGAAGCTTCTAGAAACTTCTCTTCTAGAAGGTTCCAGAGACTTCCTATCTAGAAGCTTCTAGAAGCTTCTAGAAACTTCTCTCTAAAAGGTTCCAGAGGCTTCTCTTCTAGAAGGTTCCAAAGGCTTGTTTTTTAGAAGGTTCTAGAAACTTCTCTCTAGAAAGTTCTAAGGAATATGTCCCTAACAACATAAGTAATTTTGATACTTAAATATTTTTATTTTATTTTATTTTATGTTTTATTTTTTAATTTTTAAAAAATATTATTAAAAAAAAATACTTTCTATGTTAATCAATTAGAAATGTTATCTATTTGATAAATGTCATTTATTTAATATATATTATATATTAGATATATAATATATTTAAAGATTCAAGTAGAAGTTTAAAATCATAAAAGATAAATCAAAATTTTATTTAATCTTCTATTTGCATGTGTGTAACAAGAATATATTAAATATTTATTGATAAATAGATAATAATATTTGAATATATTAATATTTCTTTAAAATTTATACCAAAAATTTAAAAAAGATGTTTTATATTATATAAATTAAGTGATATAAGAAAGTAGTTTTGAAAAAAGAGTTATGTTTATTTTGCCAATAAATTTTAAAAAAATTAAATAGTGGTAAATTAAAGAAAAAACGATAATTTGATGGTAATAGACAACAATTTTTAATATAAAAAGTAAAATAAAAATTTATATACAAAGAAAATTTTAAAGAACAAAAAAATTATTTATTCTTTAAAAAAAGTAATAATATGACATCTTTACATTGAAATAATAATAATAATAATAATAGTAATAATAACTATTTTTTATGAAGTACTTCAAAAAGTGATAAAGTCTGAGATAAATCCAAGTCTTTTGTGTTTTTTGTACTTGTAGTATTAAGTATGTATTTATTCCTATTAATTATTAAATACTAGAAGAAAAAAAATGTAAGAAGTTTGTTTGCTTATTAAAATATAATAATTATAATTATAATTAAAAATAAAAGTAAAAAATAAAATTATTACTTTAAATAATTTAAGCGTTTAAAAAATGAACACTTCAAATTTTTTATAAATTATAGAATTTAGTTAAATACAAGAATAACACATAGAATGTCTATAGAAATAAAAGTATGTTAAATGAAAATAAATAGGTAGAAAATTTTGAAGAAAAAATTGTGGAGGTTTAGCCAAACAAACTCTACATTAGGTCAATTTACTAACAAATGAAATTACAAAAAATAACAATCATCTAAGTAGATAGTTTATAGAAATTGCATTTCAACAACTTATTCAACTTAGATTGTTTTGATGTGTAGTTGTCTTTTCCTAATATATTCTTGTATATAAATAATGTATGGCTTTTTCAACTTGTCTTGATTTACCTTACTTAATACCTTGCATATTCCTTGCAAATTTCTTAGTCAAAGCAATGTGGTTCAAATCAATATTTTATTTCTACAGTTAAATTATTATGCTTCTATGATTTTGTAAAATAATGATAAGAAAATTATTAAAAAATAATGATAATACAAAATAAATTAGATAAATTTAATTTATAATTAGTAGTTAGAATTTACAACTACGAATTGATTTTTTAGAAGTTCAATTTGAACTTATTCATTGTTGTTATTATTATTATTATTATTATTATTATTATTAAATTTTTTGTATTAAAATATATAAAAATAAACTAATTTTATAGCATTACTTTAAAATATAAATATATAGAGTAAAAATATTTTATTCTAAAATAAGATATAAAGATATGTATATGCTATAAAAAAATCATAGTAATAATATTAAATTAAATATTATATTTTTAATTTAAATTTTTTTATACCTCTTATATTTTCATAGATAAAAAAATTATGGGTTTTTAATTTTTTTATGTTTTAGCATTACATCTATAAAAAAATATTTATTTATAATATTTTATAAAAATAATTTATATTTTTATTGTAAAATCTTGTAATTGTAATTTAAAATATTAATTTATTTTAAATTTTTGATATATATATATATATATTATATAAATATTTAATACATACTAAAAAATTAGTTTTATTTATATTTTGTAGCATAATTATGATTATAATTATTATCTTTTAGTATTTAAATTTTATATTTATATGTTTTTAATTGATACTTATTTTAATAATTCCAAGCTTAGTTAAGATTAGAATTAGGATTGGGCTTAAGCTAGCAATTGGTCCGAAGTCTTAGAAAACCTTGCTTAAGCAAGTTGAGAAAATGTATTTGATCCTTAACTAGGTAGTTGGCTAGGTCTAATTGGCTCCTATCAAGGCAAGGACCAAAATATACCTTAAGATCAAAAAAAGCTTCTTCCATCCATTTCTCAAGTGATATGTTTTTTTGTTTTTTTTTGTTTTTTTGTACCTAATATAATTGTGGTGGTAGATTTTCAGTTGCCTAATTAATAGACTTCAATTAGATGTTGGCTTTTGTCTTTATAATATAAGCCCACATATATAAAAGTAAGTAGAAAGAAAAAAAAAATTAAGATGTTACCTTCTTTTGGGAAAATAACAAATCAAAATTAGTGTTTTAGAAAAGAATTTCTAAAATATAAACATGTATATAAAAAATAATAAACACAAATATTATCAAAGTTAAAATAAATAATCAAAATATAAATATAAATATATTTATTATTATAATAATTTTCTATTTTATTCTTAATTTTAATTATATTTTTTACTTTAAAATTAGATCTTAATTTTTTCTTTTAAATTATTTTATTTTATTTAAACTGATAATCTCATTTTTTTTCTTTTTTCAATAGCTTTTTCTTCTTTAATTAGAAATCTGATTTTTATTTATATTTTTATCCAAAATACATATATTTTTTATAGAAGAATTACTTAATCTTCTTTTGCTATATCATTTAAAAATATATTTTTTTCTACTATAATATTATAATTTTTTTCTTTAAATTATATAAATATTTATTTAAAAGACATGTTGAATAACTTCTCTATTATTTTTTATTTTTTAAAAAAAATATTTTTACTAAAAATATTCTTTATTATTATAAATTTGATGTATCTTGCATTTTCAAAATCTCACAAGTTTAAAGTTATCACACGTTTAAAACAATGTTTATTGAAATTCACTTATCAAGTAGAAAACTTGACAATAATTTACAATGAAATCTCCATCTTATGAGAAACCTTTTATAATAAAATTTCTATAATAAGTACAAAATATAAATTAATAAAAATTATAAAAATAAATATAATCAAAAAATAATATTTTAAAATAAAAACATTGTTTAAGAATATAAATAAAAAGAGATTTGATTTTAAACTAATAATATGTCTTTTATTAAAGAAGTTGTAATATGTATATATATATATATATATATATATATATATATAAGTCGAGACAATTAATAGTTATTAATTTTTAATAAATATTATATTAATATTATTATTGGATTAATAACTATTAATATTTATTAATTAGTAGTTAGAAAATTAATAGTTATTAATAACTATTATGCTAATAGTTCTTTTAGAATTTTTACTTCATGTTTTTTTGGTAATAATATTACACTAAATTTTCTAAGTATAAAGCCAATGAAATAAAACTTACTAAATTGAATCTATCTTTAAAATTTATTACTTCTTATACAATAACTTAAATATAAAGATCTCCTCAATATGGTAGTTTATGAATTAATTTTAAAACATATACTGATTTTTTATATTTTTATTCTTAATATATATTTTAAGTAATTTTAATGTATTTTTTTAATATTTTATAAAAACGACATCTTAATTTGGATAATTAACAATATCAAAAAACTTTTAAAATATTAGTTGTTTAATAGTTTATATTTTGAGGTATACAAATATATATAGGGAGTTGACAAAGCCACACCCCAACGTTGTTAAAACCATGTCCTCAAACCATGTGATGATTAATTTTGGAGGATATGGAAGAAGAGATGAACATAGGGTGCTTGGAATGGAGACTAGGAATGGGGAGACAAGGGACATGGAAGAAGGGATGAAGACAACAAATGGATAGAATTGATCATAAAATGGTAATGTGAAGTGTGGCTTTAACAACCATATATATATATATATATATATATTAAATGACCTATCTATTTACTAAATCAACCTATCCTATCACAACCATCATTAGAAAAAATGATCATCTCCAAAAACTATCATTACAATCATGGTACCTATATCTACAACCCTTGTTCTCCATAATAGGGTGGATCGATTTAATAAATGGGTTGGTCATTTTAACATTTATATATAGATATATATATATATATATATATTTAAAACTATTTCTTATAAAACTTATTAAATTTCCATAAAAACCACATCTTACAAATTGTTTAATATTTTTTTAGAAAATAACATTATTCATGCCATGTAAGAAATAAATGCATTTTATCTTACATTTTCTCTTTCAAGAATAAAGATGTCCGATTTCGCACCAGACAACACCCATCGTTAGATGACTCTATTTTACATTTTCAACAACTTTCAATTTCATTATCTTGTATCATTGTTTGGCCATTATCAACAGAATCGGATTTTTAACCAATCACGTTCTTGAAGAATTGAACGAAGATTTAAAAATCAATTCCAAGTATGCCATAGAACAAGCACACTATTGTTGAGGACCCAATAGGTGGTGCAGGAGCTAGACCCGTGCTTCGATCTCGGGTAGGGCACGGGTGAACCGTTCCGTAAACCCTAAAATTCGATCTCCTATCTACTTAATGGTGCGAGAAGACAACATAACCATTCTCCGGGATGCGGCTCTGAGTCCCTTTCTCTTGCAGTTGTGGAGTTGTGGGTGTCTAAGGCACTTGAGCCATAGACATTTTCTGATGACCACCGCATAGTTGAGCTCCCGGACGAGTACTCTTAGTCGCCGATCTGTTTCGTGAAGACTGTATTAACTTGGAGGTGGCTGTGTATTCTCAAGCAGCTTGCACACAAACCCTTAGTGGAATCAGTCTCTACAGGGATCGAGTTCAAGGACTCCGTGATTCTTAATCTCATGCTCGTAGGGTTCCATGTCTTTCCGTGTGTTATGTTTACCTTGGTTGGACATTACCTTCAATGGGTAGTGCTGTTAAGTGTGAAATGAGGAATAATTGTTTCCCTATTGGTTTGACTGCCGCTATGATGGCGTATTATTGCTTCAAACTTTCTGATCACTCTGATGGTCTCCTGTTTCGTAGCTTGTGCCGAGGTACAGATCCTTGCCTGGGTGTGTTGTAAGGCGTGAGATGAGGAATAATTGTTTCCCTATTGGTTTGACTGCCGCAATGATGGCCTTTATTGCTTCAAACTTTCTGATCGCGCTGTTTTTACCAGTTTCAAATAAGGTGTCGAGATAGGTTATGTCGTCAGTCGGGTGTTCGAAGTGTGAGATGAGGAGTCATATTCCTTTTGGTTTGACTGCCGCAATGATGGCATCTTATTGCTTCAAACTTTCTGATCATTTCTTCAGGTTGATGACACTTTGTAGGCTTACTTATTGGTTTTATTTTATGGTCTGGTTAAGGATCTGTGGCCTAGGAACCTGGTGGTACAATTCCTCTTCCAATTATCCGTATTCTATGACAGACGAATTGAACTTACTTGGAAACTTTTTTGACTGCACCTGAAATGCCGTGTAGATGCTCTAAGCCATACATTTAACTTCTCAGCCTCTCATCCACAGCGCTGTTGGAAGCGTTTTGCACAGTACCTAGTACCCGAGTTGGCAACGAATCTCGATAAGCTTGAACCACACTGGTACTCGTTTCAACGGCGAAGGCAAAGTGAAAAGATGATTTACAGTTTCCCTATTGGTTTGATTGCCGCAATGATGGCTTTTTATTTAACTGCCTGATCACTTTGCCGCTGTGTGTGGACATGGGTGAGTTACTCAGTGCTCTCGTACGAAACCATCTGATTCTGATTAGTCTCTTGAACAGTCGTGAGATGTCGTATTCCTTGAGTGCGTTCTTTATAAAAGTGGCAAACTTGATGAAATTTAACTGGGTATAATGCTGCAAAATTTAAGTAAACACCCAAGTAAAATAAATTATATTATGAACACTAAATAAATTTTGAAATGTGTATAAAGGTTTTCTGAAATTCTGTTGCGACAAGCTTGAGAGTTCTTTTAGTTGTTCCCTTCACTGTGTGACAATGAACATAAGTAACTTGTTACAGAACATGTAACTTTGAATGATTGCCACAAGGTACGAAATGTATGTTTCGTTGAAAATATCCATCAGCTCCTTACCGATTTTCAACCAGTTTTAAATGAGCTTGGATATGAAACATCGACTTTCTGTTTGAGAGTGGCCTGAAAGGAGGACTGGGTCAATAGCTGATAATACTCGACTTTTCATTGCCTAGAACGACCTAACACAAAACCATGTTTTCTATTTGAAATAATTAGCAATACTACCAAGGACCAGAAATCCTTTCTGTAAATAATCTTTACCATGAAATCTAGTAAGATCGCGTATGAAACAGGCATTCAAGCTCTGACAAATATAATGGGAAAAAAAACAAGAAAAAAAGAAATCTAGCAGATTTTGGATGTATTTACAGAGTAATTGTGAGCCGTCTTCTTCTAGCTATAACTCAAATCTGAAATCCTCAATCCTCCATTGCTCGCACAAGTTGCGACCCGCATGCTTTTCCCGGTCACTAATTCGCCATAATTTCAACAGATGAGAATCGACACTGCAAGATTGTCTTCCGCAGGAGGAAAAGTCAGTCTGCTTCTTTTCAGCAACGTCAGACTCAGTACGATGAGTTTTTACCACTACTTCTCAAGAATGTTCTCCCGAACTCTTTTCAATATCAAACGCAAAGAACTGGTTCATCGACAGCGGGCTGTTTTCGTATTGGCAAGTTCTCCTCTTCTTGGTTAGCCTCGTGTGCTTTCCAGAGCTGGTCTCGCCCTCTTCATTGGTCTCCTCCAGGGGCTTTGGGATGTTCACCTTGAGCCAAGAACCGCAGGTTTTTTCAGCAAGCCATTTTGCAACTCTTTCGATTTTTCCGTTATAACTGCGATACTTGTAATCATCCCCACCTGACACGTAATAGTACCTACTTACAACATCCAGAGCTCTCTCATCGAAACAAGCCTTCAACCAATCCTGAACGTGGGAAAGTTCCAACACCATCGGAGGGGCTACAGCTATCCACGCATTGTAAAGGGCTTGGCAGATGGGCTTCTCGCAAGTTCTTGGAACAATTGAAGTCAGCTCTTCTGGTTGTGTTTGGTGGTTGCATATGCAACAAGTCTCTTTCATGAACACTAACTGTGCAACCACGTACGTCATCAAGCCTGTTAAGACCTCACCATCTGAAAATTCGTATCCTCTAATGAATCGCTCCTGTACGTCTTGCTTCAGATAATGCCGCACTAGATGAGGTATGTAACACGACAGACCAACTACAGGAGTTTCAACGGCGACTTTACCCTTCCAGGTCACTCCGGAACAAAAAGGCGCACCCTGATCGACAGTGATTCGCACATCGCCTTTAAGGAGATTTTCACGAAAGTTGTTTGCGCCAAGGAAGATCTTCACATAGAGTGGTGATGCGCGAGAGATACCAATTGATAAGGTAGCAATATCCTCTTCCATGAAAGAGCCCACTAGAAATTTCAACTCAATTACGCTGCAGCTAGAAACAATACACAGAAAGAATCCATAAGTCTTCATCCGAACAAGACAAATATTTGATGAGGAGGCAGGTCACTTGCTATGCATCTCGAACAATCTATTCTTATTAGCCGAGAATGTTGCTTTTACTTATGATCTCAATCTATGTTTTTGTTCTTACATTTTTAATGCTGAAGACAAACTTGAGTGTTAACATAGCATATGATTAGTACCTTGATTCACTGAATTTACATGAGCACCACTGGAGAACATTCCCCTCCAAAACTGATTGACGGAGAAAATTGCGAGACAGGCGAGAAATTTCCCGGTCGATTGGATGCTCCTCGGTAACAGTTTGAAGTTTCGCTGTTCGCATCTTGTTCATAGATGAAGCTGCGTTATCATCCGATCCACAAAATGTAAGTCTAGTCCAAACTGAACTTGTACGAAACAGCATCTTTGAAGGGATAGGAATCTGAACCTTAGTCTCTGTGATAAGAGACTTCTAAACTCGTCTTAATGCTGTTTGAGAATTGTTTTTCCTGTATAAAAGATAACACTTATTGAGAGCTGTAGTAAAGTTTACTTGAGCAGTAAAGTTGTGCTCCAATTTAGAAAAATATTTTACCTGATGGGTTAATCTCGTAATCAGTCCAATTTGACGAATTTGAAGATGAGATGCTTGCTAAGCGCTCAAAGACATGCTGTTCCAGTGGTAAATGAAAGTTGTGTTACGAAGTGGATTTGACCTTAAACTGCAACTTTAGTAAATGCCTATCAGGAAAAGAAAATTAACCAAAATGAAAATCGAGGCGAAGACGCTCTATGATGTATCGCACAGTATATTACCTGGTCTGATGAGGAGGAAGATTCTGGAGAGTTTACGTTCAAATTCAGAAAATCATTGATGAATTCGTGTTTTCCAAATGGATCCAGATTTTCCAGCTTTTTTCCCAAACACTCTGCGTCTGAAATTTCAGCACCAAGATCATAGGCGTCATCTTCCACATTTGATTCATTCTTTTGTGATCGCACAATTTCCCAGCTGCTCTCAGAACATGAATCGCCTCCTAAATCACTTTGCCCACAACTACCCACTACTCGTGATAACTTGCACCAGGAATTGGTGTAGTTATCCGAGTCATCGGTGACATTTCCGTCACATTCTGGTAAGATGCCGTCTAACCTGATAGCAAAATCAGATCCAGGACATTCTAAATTGACAGAATGTCCAGCTTCCGAGGACTCTGGCACATCATCCCAATTGAGTGGATGATACTTCAAATTCTCTGGTTTGAAATTTGAATTCACCTCATAACCCTCATCCATGTTCGAGATGCTAGTGTTAACTTCTGCTTTTTCTTCAGCTTCGCTGTTGAGTTTATCCCCTGCATTGGAATACAGAGTCAGGCATTGATACTCTGGAAAGATGTTGAAAGATTACCGACATTCAGAACGTTCCTAACAGTTAGGGCAATGAGATTTGCTTTTACTGTTTAGCATTTTGATTAAACACCTGTTGAAGTCATTGCCTGTTCTGAACCCAAGGTTTCGTCGACAACCTTAAATCGATCTAAAACTCGATGCCATGATCGTTATAAAACTCTTAAAAGTTGCGGTTAGTAATTCAACTCCGTCGTCCTGTCAATCTAAAAGCATAGCGTGTACTGCGGAGTGAACCTAATGCATACCCGACAGCATTCTTGCGCCGGCTTTAGCAACCTCTGATATTGACTCAGCAGCTGCCTGGCATTTACTTCCCGCACAATTTACTTGTCGCCGCAACCATTTCTTGTCGTTTCTCTTTGACTGACCACAATCAAAAACCTGCATTGAAAGAGAAGAGAGGAATTAGATGAGGAAGGAATCGACAAGTCAGTCTCAAACAGTTCGTTCTACGTCTATAACTGGGCGAATACAGCTAACAAGACGTAGACTGAGATTCCGCTACTAGGGGAGAAAGGCAGGGAAGAACCTGTCGGTTTTGGAAGTATCCGTCTTCACAATCAGATTCTTCCCCAACTCGTCGAAGAATTTGTTCTTGGGAGACGTATGCGGCACTAAACGCGAGAATCGCGTCCAACACATCTGAAATGCTGTTTGCATCCTCTAACCCCTTGACACAACTAAGAAACGGTGCACCAAATGCCTTTCCTATCAACTCGGCATGCTTCTTCGATGAGATTGTTCGCCAAGGAGCAGACGAAGTTGATGTTCCTGCCTCCAGAGTAACAGCACACATCACTGAGCAAGTTTTAGCCAAAGAAAAGTTAAGCCAGTGTTCAAAATCGCATGACTTGAACATTGCTGGTTGAGTCAGCATCCAGGTCCTTGGAGATCACAAGTGCAAGAAAGTTACAACTGAGACGCTGATGCATACATTAAAATCTATTCAGCTGTTCACCACATACAAAGTGCAAAGTAGGCGAATGTCCTCCAAACGGGAATGCATACCTTGTGGGTCAAAAAATTCTACGAGAAAATTGTTGAGGTCATCGTCAATATCAAGATTGATTGACCCTTCCCGGCCAAGGGATTTTTTCTCACTCAGACCCAGATTCTCCAACGACGAAGGCAAAAGGGCCTTAGTCCTAAGTAGCTGCACTTGCTCACTGCAGGGCCAAACCTGAAGACGACGGGTCCGATTTGAAAGGAGAAGTGCGACTTGAAATCCAGAATAAGGCACAAGCTCCCAGTCATCCTTCTTTTCGCAACACGCAATGTATCCTGAGGGAGGAGACAATTCCCAAAAAAGCTTTCCAATCTTTATGGTGACATGGCCTTTGGATACTGGCGGAATAGAAATCGCATGGATTAAGTCTTGGTATTCTTCTGATTGTGGGGTGCTTGAAAGTTTTGATATCCAGATTGCAGAGTCTGTGCAAACTGCCTCCTCAACAGTTGCCCAGGATTGCCTGAGAGGGGACATCGTGCCGGAGCCAGATGGGACGTCAATGATTCTTGCCGGACCACCTGGACATATTCCAACGGTACCGGAAACAGTTTTAGAAGACTTTGATTAAGTTCTGGTCCTAAACATATTAATCAGTTGAACCCTGAGCTACAACGATGTCGAGCTTCCATTCTACAGTATCGCTCTTAAAAAGCACAAGAAACACTTAAATTATGCTGAACCACGCTCCGTTTCATTATAAATAAACAATCAGGTTCCACAAATCTTATCAGTTAAGAGAGTTCATGGAATACGCGGATTAATGTTCTCCAAGATAGATTAAATTTGACAACATAATATCCTCCGGATAAACAATATAAACAGATTTGCAACAGGGTCACATAGCAAAGTCGCGCGGCAATATGAAGATATTATCCAGGCCACAAAGTCATGAACATTAGACACATTCTTCAGCTCACAACCAGGTTGTATACTATCTGGTAACATGCAAAGGATATGTTGTTGCAGGCAGAGTTAAAACCCTGATCATCCAAATGTAGAACGGAACAATGGAAAAATCCATCTCTGCAACCACCAATTCGCACATAGGACTCGCTCTCAGATAGTCAAATCCCGAGTCTATTCCCATTATGCATATCTACTAAACACCTTTACATTAATTCCTCGACAATTACATGCCTTTTTCTGTCTAGAACATCTCCATAGTTACACTTCGGTAACGAAAATAAACAGACACACACTCCGCAAATTAGCAAACTTGAGAATCTTGAATCACATCCATGCTAACCAACAATTCTACAGCTTCGAACATCACAAGTGGACAACGTGGACTGGTAGAGGCACCCTATAATTACGACGAACCATGTAACGCGTACCCCTTTATCACTCTGCGATCCATCTTTTCCCTTTCGACTCCATCCTAAAACTCAAGCTACAGCATTCGACGTAGCATAAACGAATAGGAAGAGTCGACAATGCTCGAAATTGACAAACCGACATGATACCGACAAAAAAAATTAAAAACCAAGCATGTATCTCCGACTTGATATCCACCGATCTCCACTTGCTCATCCTGCACATTACCAGTGAAAAACGAAAACCGCGGCGCTGAATTCCAAAAGCTAGATACCCCTGCTACACCGCGTCTTGAAAACTCCGGCAATTCAAGAAGCTCCCGTCGCCTCTACCAAACCAATTAGAAAACATTCACACTACTCCGTCCTGATGAAGTTCCCGAAATCTTCATTAACTACAGCGACCGCGTCATGAGAAGGGCTCAGGTAACGAGACGCAACACTCGATCTCACAAGGGGTCGTCCATTTGGCACAGAATTGTTCGCCTGTCGCACTCTTCAGCAACTATGGCAAACGTGCTCTCACTCCTCTCGCTCTCTCGCTATTCGCTCTCTCTCACACACACACACCTAAGAAGGTTGCAATGTTTATGAAAGCTCTCCAGCATGAATCTACACTATGAGAATCGACGTGGAATTGAGGAATAACTCGAATTCATTCATAGTGCGGAGATATGTCTTTCGTGCAGACAAGTACCAACGAAGGCAAGCAGCTTTAGGGGCGCCTCAGCACACTGCGGCCGAAGGGGAGCGTGCGCAGTCATAGGGATAAGCAACATGGATGAATAAGTTCATCCAAGATAGTTTGCTTCTGGAGACAAATCATACTTATCTCGTTCGATTAAATTAATTGTCATCCAACTATCGATGAATCTGGACCTCTGGTAAAGCATCAAGGAATCCTGTGTGGGAACGGAGAACATTATCAAGGGAACTAAAATTGGCGGTATAGACCGCGGCTTTGGGCCCCTCTTTACCTTAACGATGCCGACAAATGGCGGGTTCGACATAAATTACAGACATGTTTAGGAGGGAGGGGGGGGTCAAAATAGCCCAATCAGAACATGACACTTTTCTAAATAGTTCCGTAGGGTGGAAGCAATGGCGTATTCCTTCTTTACACTTTTTTATGATAATTGTACTGCATGATCGTTGTATTGTATGATCATTTAGTGGATTATGTATTGTATGATCATTTAGTGGATTATGTATTGTATGATCATAATCCACTAAATGGGTTATTTTACAACAAAAACTCAGTGAACAGGTTTTTGTTCCTTTTGTGTCTATTTCTTTTCGTTCTTTCCATTTTCTCTGTTTCTTTATCTCCTCCTACTTTGATACATATGAAAACATGGATACATACATACATACATTCATACATTAAAGTCTATTTTGATCATTGTGGTTGATATTTAGCCACTTGGGCAGTAATCCAATCTTTCCAACAGTGAAAAAGTGTGTTGAAAATTGTAAAAAGTTGAAGCCATAAGATTGAACTACTGTTCACTTTGAAGAAATTTCACATTCAGTAAACATGTCAATGGTAACATATAGCTCAATAAATACAATTTTGACATCAAAGTGGTTAGCCAAAAGTTAATAAAAACTTGTGATTAGAAAGTAATTAGCACAATACCCTTATGCCATATCAAATGTACAAACAATTGTACATTCCACATTTGATACCATATTTTGTATGTGCATTTGAAGATGTTCTTTTGGAGTGTTTTTTTCCAAGTCTTTTGTAGGACAGACAAGATTGATAAGTGTGTCATATACCCTATTAATGACTTGTTTGCAACCAACATGATTGGTATGAGTGCAATGTGTTCGATCTTTGCTTTGTTTTTTTTTAAGAAAGTGGAAGAGATGAAGTTGACTGCCTTGGAATTGACCAAGTCTCAGCAATTTGGGAATGCGAGGAGCATGAGACCCAAAGAAACCCTCCCTCCAAATAATTTAATCATTAATCAATGGGAAAAATTTGGCTGTCATGGGTTCCCCACCTTTTGAAAAGCTGGGCACATGTGCTTGACTTTTTGGATCTCCACACAGTTTTAAAGTATGCACAATTGCATTATTGCACTATGACATCAATCAACATATTTATAGTAGAGATAGATAAGCAAAGATTAGTTTGACAAGGAAGTTGGAGATGGCTGGAAAAATGGTTAATTTTTTTCACATGGTTCAGCTACACTTGAGTATTTCTGTTCATTTAAATTTGGAAGTGCTTATGAAATTGAGACTCAAAAATTAGGAATGTATGTATGTGTAGTATGTATTCATGCAACAAAGTATTTGATTTAGAACTGTAGAGTGTTGTAAAACACAAAACAGAATGTAATGTACTATGCAGAGTGAAGGAGGTGATGGGATTCCAAGGATTCCTCTCATGACTAGTAGAAAAAGTGGTCCTAGAAACTTTGTTTTTTTGGTGGGAGACAAAAGACTACACTGTTTGAATGAGAGGAAGGTTCAAAAAGACCTCTCCCTGTAGCAGGTTATTATCTCCACACGTTCAGCAGGATTAGAAAAAAAATCCTCCCTCGTGGCAGATTATTTTCTATACGGATTTTCCCAGAGTCAAGTGCTCCTTCTCGCATTCTCCCAACTAGATTCTTCGTTCAGTTCTTATTCTCAGCAGCTTCCACAATCAAGAACTGATGATTTCGAAGAATAAAGAATTCTCTGAAATTCGAACCACCGAATTGAAGTAGGTGCTACTCAAAGCAAATGATGCTTGACCTGCATGGATAGTATGCTTTGAATCCAACGTGTAATTAGTATAATAGAAAGCTTGTGACCGAAGGAAGATGCACTATTCCCCGAGTCTTATATACAATAAAAACAAAAAAAAAATGCATGAAATTTCGTTTACAACTTAAGAAAAATTCATTCTTATTCTATAATTCGACCCTGGTAGTTAGTTGGATAGCAACGCCAGGCGTATCGTGCACTCCAGCGACTCAGCGACAGCATTGCAAGGCTCCCCTCAACAAGTGCGAGTATCTTATATCCCTGGATGAAGATGGACGCAGATGAGTGACAGATTGTTTTGTACAATGAGGAAGAGAGATGATCAGCACCTTTGTAATGAAGACTTGCAACAGTGCCTGATTCGGGATACTCAAAGATTTTGATGTTCTAGTTTGAGCATTGTGCTTGGTCGATGATCCGAGTCAAGGGTTGAGTTCCGCACAGGTGGAAGACGACTGTGATAGTTGTGTACCATTGAGTGGCCTCGCGCCAGTAAAATCCTCATGAAATGGGTTAACACAGTGGCCATCTTAAAATGATGATAGCCCAGGTCTTTACAGCGCTGCCGAAATTGAAGTCCTGAAGGTTTGCTTAGAACATGTAACTCAGTTTCTCCGGAGTTATGCGATCGCGGTTGCATGGACATGGTGGTAACTGAACTTGTGCTTCGCTTCTGCGCCTCCAGATCCGGTGTAGAAGAACTTCTGAAGCCATGTTGTTGTCACTTCGAACGACAGCCAAAAAACATTGGGAGTAACATTCGTAACTTGGGTCGAGTTTTCGCCTCTTTACGTTCACTAGCAAGTCTTGTAAGGCAGAAGAGGGCAGTGGAATGGTCGATGCAACTTGCAAGTTCAGCCTCAACCCATGTGAGCTGATATTTCTACAATTTTTGATGTCCAATATAAACAGTGAAAACGCACTCTGTCCATCGGAAGAATCGAGATGTCGATGCCATTGGAGGTTACTCGTTACCATGTTATTGATCACCTATTCCGAGCTCCAGCAGAGCTCCAGCTTCTCACACGTTTGGCTGTGTTAGTTGTCATTCCCATGTGCCATGCGTGACTGCATATGCACCACCGATTTCTCTGTGCAAGGAGCTTTGTCCACGAGCATTAAGTAGCCTATCGCTTGAGCCATCCAGGACTAGAGGGAGGGTTTGATGGAGCCCTGGTGCATCATGGGCAATGAAAGTCTGGCACCGCCACCTGGTTTTCTGGGCCTTCTGAGCTGTGGCAGGTCTCATTGAAGTCAAGAAAAAGATAAATATCGTAATCGTTGTTTTCTCCACAGTTCCTGCCGAGTAGATAGACTTATGTGAACGTACTGTCACGCCGAGATGGTATAAAGAACCTGACAATCCTGACGCAGTCCGTACAACTTAACGCCCCTCTGCAGTAAATCCTTCACTACTTCCCAGGGAAGTACTTTTCGACCGCTTCTGGTTCTTATGTGTCGGTCTATTTCGCTTCTGCAGAGTTGATGAATACCTATCTTACAATCTTTAGAACCTTACAGTGGTCCAGTCAAGTTCAGTATAATATTAGGTGTACTGAATTTGTTTAAGTTTCACGTTCTTCTTCTCTATATCTTTGCGGTTACATATTCAGTCCTGCTCCAAGGATGAGGCAGTAAAAGTTGCAGTCTCCGCAACAAGGGGTACACACGGCATGCCATCTTAGGGCAAAGTTGCGGAACAGGCAGCACTTATTTTGCGAAACGCTAATACCCCACATCTCCCGGTTAGCGAGTTCTCTTTCGCGACTCCAGTAGTCTCTGACCCGCATAAAAAATTAAAATAACACTGCAATAGAGTCATCCAGCACAGATATCGTATTGTTTTGGAGATGTGCACCTCAGAGCGCGGCTTCACACGCCATGTTATTCTTCCCTTCATTGCTCTCACAGCAAATCGCAGCAAAATCCCGACTTCTGTTCTGGGCAGGGTGGTGCAGCATCGACATGTGAAATCAAGCTTTGCGGACGGAGACGCGTTTCCCTCTATCAAGCCCCTATAATCTAATTTTCACTTGACCACACCAAAGTCTCATAGATACGATTTGTATCTCATCAAATCTCTACGCGCTGCACTGGATGTGCTGTCCAACATCCGCGAATTTTCCCCGAATCGTGGCTCCACTCATCCCTGCTGTCGGCGCCAACGCTTAACTGTTGATCTGCTCAATGCTTACGATAGCGTCGCGAAAACCGACAGTGATTGTGTCCTCGAACTCCATCGAACGGCACTTTGGCAAAAGGATAAACCAACTGATGCTGCCACGATTCCTGTGGACAGTTTGAGAGAATAATCAAGGAACCAAAATAAAAGGAACTTACTTATTCGATGCGACTGTAAACTCGCAGACTTAAATGCAGTAGATTAGGACCTGAGTATTCCGCACTAAGTCCGGATCTCAGTTCATCCATAATATTGATCATCTAGTGTAGATGATAAGTAGGGATGGATGTTCCAACTCAGTCTGCACAGAAGCAACGGCAGAAGGTCTCAAGTTTTGGAACAAGAGTGGATTGCGATGCACCTTCGAAGCAGACTCGCCCCACCTTGGTTGCAGCTTCGTCGCAGCTTCCCCGTAGCTTCGTTGTAGCTTCGCCATCCTTCCCAACTTGAAGAGTAATCACGACGTGTTTTCTCGCTATGAAGTGTTCAAGCGGAAAGTGGCATCCTCATACTGCCCAGTTGCTAATATTATTAAATGATATCTTTCAAACCAGATACTCTTATTTTCTTTCAGAAAAAATAATATTTGTGGAGGTTTGTTACATCAATGAAATAAAAATAAAAAATAAAAACAACAGTTTTATTGGAGAACAGAAGAAAATTTGGATAATATATTTGAAAGATATTAAGAGGGCACATAGTTGTTTTCATTCCAACGTTTTAAACAAATCAAGTTTCACATTGAGTATATTCCATGATATTGTAAACTAATCAAAAACTTTAAAGTGTTATTTTTTGCACAAAGGAATTTCAAATATATATACACACACACACATATATATATATATATATAGCATAGTGAATAATTGTTGTTATTCCCCGGGCTCTCAATTTTAATATTTGATTCAAATCTCACTGAATTCAGAACATGTTACTATCATGAACATATGTATTTATTCCAATAATTATTTATATGATTAGGAAAAAGTAGGTAAATGTAGATTAATTTCATAATATCTTCTAAAAAAGCTTCCTAGAAGCTTCATAGATGTAGTTTTGATTTTACACGTGTTTGTGATTGCTTGATAGGTTAGAAACTTGATCAATAAATTAATCATATATTGGTAGCTTGTGGAATTAGTTAATTATATAGATCACATATAGAAAACTTGCTTTATAAGTTAAAATATGTATCTTACAGAGTCAACACATATTGGAGGTTCTCTAAAACATTGCTATGTTATCATATTGCATAAAGTTTTGCTTAAGAATGCATCAGACACCTATTAAATTGAAGAAAATCTCTAAAAACTCCTCGGATGTTGGTTGGCCTCCTACTTCAATCTGAATGTTGAACTTCTAATACAAATATCTCTCATTTGAACTATTGATTTTTTTTCTCAAATTTCACTTAAACTATTGAAAATCAAGTCTAGTCTCAAAAAAAAAAAAAAAAAAAAAAAAAAAAAAAACTTTAATCCAATTTATAGATTGCTAAAGATCTTAAAAATACTCATTAACCCTTAGATTCTTATTTTTGAGACCTCAAACTACAAAACCTTTTATATACTTTGATCTAATTTTTTGATTGACTTTAAATTTACAACACACATCAAGTACAATTATACCCATCAATCTACGAAATTATACTCATAGATTTGTTACAAACTCCCAAATTTGGTTAAATAGTCGATCTTATTTTATTTTATAAGAATCCAAGTTATCCAAAACAACCTTGATTTTATAAAGTTCTTACAAAGTCATTACAAATCCAAATCACACAAAGTTAATTCTCATAGAAATTCTATTAAGTTTGCTCTCAAATCCCACCCTCCAATCTAGAAAAGAATCCCAAAGTCACCATAGATGTATGGTTTTATGCTTTAAGATCTGATTTTGACCTTGATTGACAACTGGTCCTCTCCAAGTATCAATTCTTGGCTTCTTGAGGTAAAATTTACTAAAATCTATTCTTAACTCCTTTCTATACATATCTATATTGTTTAATTCTTAAATCTACTTTATTTTGGATTATTTATGATCCTACAAAGTAAGTAGAAGCATATTTTGTAAAAAAGCAACAATAACACCATTTTATTTATTATCTTTTTAACTATTACCTATTTTTTAAGATAATTTGCTATAATATTTTAAAATAAGATCTTCTATAATATAATGTTTTCTTCTTTCTTTCATTCATTAGCCATATTACATCACAACAACATAGCTCTTAGTTAGGTAATATATATGGAGGTAGTAGTGAAGCCTTCTTCACTCTTATTAATGCCTTTCTAATCCTTAGTCTTATTTCAAGACTTTCTATTCTTCTTGTCTTTGGCAATAGCCATTCTAGTTCAATATATTACTATCTTTGAGTGATTTTTTAATCTTTTTGAGTGACACAAAAACATATTAAAGATTGTATACTTTAAAATTCATATTTTTGATAATTATTACACTTCACATTCCAACAAAATTGCTCAACTCAACCCACAATCTATGTTAGAGGATAGTGGTCTTTTTGTATAGCTTGATATACAAAATCCAAAACGTAGGCATGCTTACTAAGACTATTCGAATAACAAAGGATCTGGATTAGTATGAACTCAACAATAATATGGAGTACATTAAAGAGGAAGAATAAAAAAGAACATTATACATTGATTGGCACATGATACAATCTCCTAAACTCTAATAAAATTAGCTATTAAATTTACACAAGAATATTATGTCTTTCATGTAATGACAGGCCACAAGAAAGAACAAGTGAGAAAAGATGAGACTTATGATGCATTTGATTCATTAAAAAATTTTACACCTGTATGTCAATCTGGACATTGAATAATTGGAGTCTAAATTGGGCCACTGGAATTGTGTCCAAGGCTTAAGGTCATAAGTCACCAAGTTTTTGTAAAGGATTTAGTGCTCTAATTTAGTTTTTAAAAAAGTATTTATATATTGTTAACAATACTTGATACATCATTGATGGAACAAATCTCTTTTTTTATGATTTTATACAAGTATTCTTTTTATCATTAGTGGCTCTCCTCCTCCTCGCCTTTCGTTCTTTTTCTTTCTCTTTCTTATTCCTCAAGTTCCACCACTAGATTATTCTTGATGGCACTTGCATTCCATAAACTGCATTGATCCTTGTTATCTTGGGCCACCTCTTTTATGGTAGTTGATAATTGATTCTATTATATATGATATGAGATGTATTTATTCAAATAGTCCTTTTCATACAGGATTGGATTTGAGTGTGAATGTCATGACATTTTACAGAGAGCTTTCAAAATATTTGTCAAGAGATTAAGCACTTCTGGGAACGTAAGCATATTTTTGGTAGGCAAAAACATGGAAAAAATATCTTTTGGATTGTTGAAATTTTTCAATAATGTGAACTTGGATATCAAGCAGGTGCATCAAATCCATTGTCAACCTTGAGAAATTCAATTTTATAACAACAAAGATGTAACAAAACTTATAAAGTGCAAAAATCCAGCTGCTCATTTTTACTCAACATCTCTCACAATTGAGACATTGCAAGAATCTTGTATAATGGGCAATGTAGCAGTAGCACTCAGATTTTGCTAAGAGTTTTGTTCAATTGAAATGCTTTCAATACATGGTCCTTGCTTCAAATAAACCACCATCATTGTGCTCTCATTTCTATATAGGATTAAGTTATAGAATAGAGTGATATTATTGAGGTGCAAAGTATGGTAATATTCACAACTAGATTTGAATCAAATATCAAAACTGGAAGTTGGGGGGAGAATGACAATTACTCACTACACAAGATTGAGAACAAGGAGGGATTGAGACATCATTTGAAAATTTGGGTAATGCAAGGAACAAAGATGGGAGACGAAGGGGGTCCAATGATGGTTAAGATAGAGTGGGTCACTTTAATAAAAATTTGAATTGCTTTATCATACCCATATATGAACATATATATATATATATATATATATATACTGACCAATTAATGGGAGGAGTACATTCACAGCCGTTTCACAAAGACTGTTTTATCAGTATTAATGTTATTGGACGAGAAGTTACAACTTCACGAATTCATTCGTCCAAACGGATACGCCTATTCATATATGTTCATTCATCTCTTGTGAAATCGACGCCGCAGTGGCTGCTCAGCGGGACTGATCACTGCAAAGGCGAAGTCCGCGGCGCCATTGCGGCCAGGAGATTGTCAGGCTGCTCTTGTTGCATTCGCTGGTGCTCTGTCGTCTCTCTGCACTTCAATCATCTCATCGGTGGGTCGCCGAGTCAGAGCTTGTCCTCATAACACTCCTCTTCCCGCTCCAACACACGCATTTCAGAAATCATCGTCAAGGCCATGCTCACCAGCTCACAACTGATCGTTCTGAACTGTCGAGCAGCTGTGGACTGTTTCTGCGCCACCTGAGCCCTTGCGCAACTTGTGCATCACCTGGAAGCCTCATATGAACATTGTTTTAAGCTTTTTAGGGGTCTCTTCTTCGCGTACATCCGTCCCTGGTTTGAATGCTGGTGTTGTCGACGCAGTATTTCCTGCACTTAGACTTCTGCATTGAGTTAGTTTGAGGTCGTGGTTTCATCACCTCTGGGGTTTCTTTTAGTTGGAGACTGAAGGCTGCAGTGTATTGGAAGTGTACTCCGACCTGTCTATTGGGCTGCAGGGAGAGCTTTTCGTTGCATTGCACAGTATTGTGAAATTAAGTACAAGTAGCAGTGGACAAGCGACCTTGGAGGGAGGTTGCAAATGGGAGCCCTGGAGTTGCGAGCTGGGGTGCTGATTATCTTCGCCGCTCTATGTTGGGCCACAGCGGGCGTTGTCGACGGTGTCACGTTCACGGAGCAGTTTACTACTTTCTCAACTGATGGTTATCATGTTCAAGTGGCGCCTGATGGCCTGGAGGCTAAGATTGTGCTGGACCAATATGCAGGTGTGGATATTCATAACTTGAACATCCCTTCTCGCTCCAGTGACTAATACGTAAACGCAGCAATGTTTCATTTAGTCACTTTTCAACAGCCGTCAATGTCCATGCCAGGGTTTGTGTCTTTTTAATTTTTTTCTTATCACGAAGTGCACTGAGACAATAGCCTGTTAAGTTGTTCCAAGTCGTTGAGTCTATTCATTTGTTCCACACATTGATTGAACATTCGGGTGATGTGGCCAGCTTCTGGATTTGGATCCAAAAACCAGTATTTGTTTGGAAACATCACAATGAAAATCAAGCTCGTGCCGGGCGACTCTGCTGGCACTGTAACCGCTTACTATGTAAGTCTCTTCTTACATTAACAAGCCCCTGGTTTGAGATGTAAGCTGCAATTTCTTTCGATGTCGTCGATTTCCGAGGAGTGTTTACTATTTTCGAACAACCCTTGGCCCTTCAAGCTTCACTGTGCATGCGTGTTCTCAGTATAAGAATTCAATCATATTCTGTTATGTACGTGGACTTGTTGTTCAGTATCTAATGCATCTGGTTCAATGTGCAGTTGTCGTCTGCCCAACCCAACCACGATGAGCTTGATTTTGAGTTTTTGGGGAACGTCTCTGGGGAGCCCTATGTTTTACAGACCAATATCTTTGCTAATGGCCTTGGTGGTAGGGAGCAACGGATCAATCTGTGGTTTGATCCCACCACGGAGTACCACAGTTACGGTGTTCTATGGAACAGAAAGCAAATCATGTAAGTACTGTAGTTAGTAAGGAAAATCCTTCAATAATTAGCGCTCCGTTTTTAATTTCTTGTCAGGTGAATGTCACTGATTTGTCCAACTGAAAGTATATAATGTCTTGGAAGAAATAATTTGATATGTAGAAATGAAACGACCTTGGTCTCCAAAATGCCACAAAGAGAATGTTAAATTGATGGCTAACGTGTTTCAGTTGTATGAAACTTTTGTTGTCAGGGTTTTTCTTTCCTCATCTGGGAAAATACTTATGCAAGGTGTGGTCGTGGCTTTTTTGAGACGTGGAAAAAGGTTTGCTTACACCTTCGTTGTTCATTTGATGCAGTTTCACAGTTGACAACAAACCAATTCGCCTGTTTAAGAACAATGAAGATATTGGTATTGCATATCCCAAGAGCAAGCCCATGGGTTTATACGCCAGCCTTTGGAATGGCGACAGTTGGGCCACGCAAAATGGTTGGATCAAGACTAACTGGACCCATGCACCATTCATTGTTTCATTCAAAGATTTCAGCACCTTGGATGGTTGCGTGGTGATAAACAATAACACCAGCCCATGCACCACGGTTACTACCTCCCACTGGTGGGAGGATTCAGCCTATCAAATCATCGACCGCAATCAAGCAGAGCAACTCCTGTGGGTAAAAAATAATTATATGGTCTATGACTATTGCACAGATACTAAGAGGTTTCCAACTCCTCCTGTCGAATGTAGCCGTAACGTACCCTTGTTATGATTTTCTGATTGCCTTGCTGTGGGGAAGCATCGTTCTGTCAGTTTGCTAAGCATTTGCAGTGGAAAAATAAGTTCTACACAGTATATGCAAGCGTGCTTGTTTATGAGTATTTTTTACTAGCAAGTCTCGAAGTCATTCCACTACGCAAGATATTGAACTAGACATTCCAGTTCTTCGAGGTTATGAAGGCAGTGGCCGAGAATTTAGACAGGAGTAATTGCATTGAGTTGTTCAGTAATGTGTTGTTCATTAAATTCATTTTTTATACTGAAGTTTTTATTAATTTATATTTTTGACATTAATTATTTATTCATTTACCCTTTCGAGTATGACGAGATATCAGAGGCATTCGGACTACAGTTTTTATTAGTTCGTATTGACTTTAGCTATTGTGTGATTCCGCAAAGTTGGTATTTCATGGTAACCTATGTGGGCTCATCAAATTATGACAAGGATTTGGCTTATTGGTAATGAAGTGAGCCGACACAAGGCAAATCCAACGGCACACATGCCCTCTCAAGCATGGAAACAGTAACCCTAAGATCCAGCAGTTAAGACGAGCTTGGAATCTGAATCATGTACATTTCAGTGTGCTTTATTCTAGGTATTCAACTCTTGGTTACTTCGAGACCCCGCCCTCGCCTCCACATAAGCCATTGTAAAGTCAGTAATGAGCTTTTGTGAGAAACTTTCAAAAGCTCCACATAAAATATACAATGTCAGGGTGAGAAACGGATGCTTCTGAAACTAGATCTACATCTTGCTAACATATCACGAGATGTGCAGAAATATAGGCATCGAATTTGAACAACAATCTTTCAATTCTAGTGTAATCTGGCTTTTCCCTTCAAAATAGCTTTAGCTTAGTGGACCCAAGCTACACAGCTTTGAAACCTTACGCAACTGTCAATCTCTAATTTTTGAGATCGTTAGAAATTCAGGTTTCTGTGAAGTACAAACTTACAATCCGTGGAACTGGAGTTTCTGACACCATGGGTACACCCCATGCTGTGTTAAGATCTAATTCCAACTGCTACCCTTCTCATGACCCCAAATCACATGATCTACCAAATGCTCCCAATAGCAATTTAAGTGTGCAAGCCTCTCCCTCAATAGTTTCCGATCCTCTGCCAATCGCTCCTTGCCCCTGCAAGCTTTCTCACCCTATCCATTGTAAGTCATCGTCGTCCCTTTGTCGACATTGTTTTCGTATCCCCAAACATGGCAAGAAGCGAGGTCACCCTCGGCCACCAGCTACGAAAATATCGGTTTTGGACCCGTAGCCCCAGACGGCAGCAGGAAGGTCCACTGAGATAAATATATATATATATATATATATATATTTATATTTAAACATAAATATATACAAAGAGATCTTAACAATAAATCAAAAAACAATGCAAAATATCAATGTAGTTATATAAATTAAAATACTAAGTTTAAAAATTATAAATAAAATTTATGTATTTTTATCTATATTAAAAAATATAATTTTTATTATTATTTTATTATTTTATTTTATTCATGAATCAACTTAGTTTATATGGTTTTGAAAGTATTTAAATTAATGAATATATTATGATTATTAAATTCTTTTATATTAAATTTTTATTTGATTTAATTAAATTAAAGTAAATCATATTTAGAATTATTAAATAATTAATATATCTTTAAGCCAAAAATTAAATTTTATATTTAAATTCAAAAATTAGTTTAATAAAATGATATCATTCCATAAAATTAAAAAAAAATAATAATGAGTAACTTATTATCTTCTATAAAGATAAATAAATACTAGTCAAAATGAATCCAACTTAAAATTTTAAGATGGTTTATCTTTATAGTGTCTAATACCAATATAAGAAGACCACCTTATTATTTGATTATTGTTCAAGCCTTTATAACTTCATTTAAATAAAATATTTAGATCACCATTGGAGGTGGTTCCTATCTCCAATAATATTATCAAATATTAAGTCTCTTCTAAGATTGTAATACTAAATATATAGTTGATTAAGAAGTCCAAATTTCAAACTTTCAGCTCTTGATAATCCACATACATTTGTAGTGATCTATCTTTTTTCTTTACAAACAAGATAAAAGTTCTTCCTAAAAATTTTAAATAGCATATGAAATTCTTGACAAAGTTCTCATCAATATACTCCTTAAGTTGAGTCGACTTATTTTGTAATAAACTAGAGTTTGGTCCAAATGGTGATTGAGCTCCCTCTTAAAGGTCAATTGAACAATCATAAGGATGATGCTTTGGGAGATTATTTGCATTTTTCTTTTCAAATATACTTTGATCATCTTAATATTGGCTTAAAATTCTATTTGAAGTCTTTCCAACATAAAAAATAGATCTAGCATAAATGACAAAAGATGATCTTTTCTTTTGTAGCATGTATGAAGGCTCTTACATCTACAAAGAAGAATTTGGTTGCACTAGATTTATGACTTTCTACTTGCTTAATAAAATCTTTATGTATGCTCTAAAACTTTTTAGGCCACAAGAAATTCAATCTATCCAAGGATTATATTTTTTTAATCATAATAAATCTAAAATAATTAGATTAAAGAGACATTTAATTATATTAAATATTTCAAAGCTATCATAATAATTTATTGCTATTTATATAGAAATTTTTTTATAGATAATATTTCCAAAAGACAATGGATAAGTATATATGATTTTTACATGCTTTGATTTAATTTTATTTATATAAAATATTTTAGATATTTTAATAAATTTTTCATCTTAAAAACAAATTGAGACTCTTAAATCTAGCAAATCAAAGGCTTTGTGATTTTTAGGTCCTAAAAAAATATCTATTTTATAATAAAGAAAGGATTTTGATGAAAAAATAAGACCTTCTCTAGATGTTGTATAAGATTGTAACTACATAATGCCTATTGTACTTGTACAAACTTTTTTTTTGACACATTGTCTTTTTTGACAACCATATTTCTTATTTTGTGGTTGCATTGCTTCTTTAAATAATTTTGAGTAATATGTTTAGATCCTCCATAATATAAACACAATCTTTCTTAACAACAACAAGTCTTTTCTTACTTAGTAAGAAGTTTAAAACATATTATATGAATTTGCATGGCTTCCACTTCAAAAAATATATGTATTGAGAAGTTGTTGGTATTACCATTGAATTTTAAAATTGCTGAGGCCTACTTATGAGGCTCTCTGACTAAAATTTAAAAAGACAAATATCACACCATACAAAAAATTGAATTGTTTAACTTAATGTTTGAAGATCATATAAGTTTAAAATTAATTCTTTTATTTTATATTGTAAGCCAAAGAAAAATTGGCTAATCAATGCAACATCATTTTATTTGATATCAATTGTAAGTTATTGAAATAATAAAGAATATTATATTATTAATTAATTGCCTTGTTGCAAAATATAAATCTTATTGGTTGTAATATAAATTACATTATTTTTCTATATATAGATCAAAACTTTGCCAAAAAAGCCTTTAAATTATCAATAGTATTCCAATAAACTTGAATTGTGATTTTAGAGCTGGATAGTTTTGAAGTTGAATTCCAATCATTAATTATATTTAATTGATAAGTCTTCAAAACTTTGATTTTGTATCATTAAAATTTTTAAGCAATGCAACATTTGATTTTCTTATGCTTGGATAATATTCTACTATAGAATGAATAATATGATTTAGTGTAGATATTGAAGTGGCTCCAATCACCTCTATATCTTCACTTTGTGCTAATCTTGTTGCTTCTTGTGATGATAAATTGAGTTGAAACATTGTAAGTAATAATTTATAGAGTATTCATAAATATAAAGAAGTATATGAATTTTTGAAAAAAAAATAAAAATTTGAGAAGAAGATATTAAAATTAAAAGCTCAGCATTAAGGTTGGAGAAGAAAGGCTACTAAAATATTCAAAAGAATTTTGATTTTTTTTCAATCGGTATATAAAATCTTTTTCAAACTTCTTATGCATGTTGTAAATTAGGAGTTTGAAGTTTGTGCAAAGACTTAGATAAAATCAATGTTAAATTAGGAAATTATAATGATATTAATACACCTTTGGATTTAATTAGGATTGATTAGGATTTGATAGAAATTTAATTAAAATTTGATTGAAATTTAGATAGGTTTATATTTTATGATTTAATTAGAATTGATTAGGATTAAATTAAGATTTGATTTGGATTTGATGAGAAATTTGTTGAAGATTGATAGCTTTAATTTAATTTTTTTATAAGTATTATTTAAGACTTTCTTAAAGATTGTTTGTTATTTGATTAATGTTGGTAGTAGCTTCAAAGGGATTAGTAGAGTCTAAATTAATGAGCTTGAAATATATCCAACTATCTCAGAAATAAGTAAAGAACATGCAAACAACCTTAAAAAATATCCAAGTAAGGCCATCTATAAATATTAATTAATTAAATGGTTGATTGATTGAAAATAATTGATTGATTTGAAGATTTTAAGAAAGTCATGATTGCTAAGGCATGTATTTCTAAACATTTCATATATTATTTATTATTATTATTATAAAAATAACTTCTAAATAAGTAGAAATTTTTCTACAATCAAAGGTCTAATGCATTTTTAGCCTAAATTTTACATAATACAACAACATTGTTCACAATCCAATTGCTATAAGCAAATTACCTACTATATTAGCATTCATGACCATATTGGCATCACAAGCAAGATTTGCAATAGCATCAACTATAATATTGCATAAGACTTTGTATTTATTGGCACCAAATAAAACTTATGATTGATCCACCTTGACAATAGAATACCTTGCAATATGTCTTTGCAAATATGATTAACCATTGTAGAAATAATACTGAGTTAAATTCATTCTTATGCATTGAAAGTCCATATTTCAACAATTTTACAACCATATTTTCTTTGTCTTAAACAACAGCTTATATAGAGACAATGAAATAATTGAAGTGAGTGTGGTATAATTGCTAGACTAATAATGACAAATATATAAGTGGGTAAAAAAGTGCAACCACATCCTACCAAGTTAAAGAAACATAAGAAGTATAGCAATGAATGAAATGGTGCAACAATAATTAACAATAGAAGTTGTAATAGTATTTATAATAAATAACAAACAAAGAGTCAAAAAATTGTTTTATTGAGTGGTATATATATAGAGATTTCATTATATTGTATACTAACAACTTCACTTATTAGATTAAGTACCTACATGTTGCTTTCTTTCAAGAAGAATATGAACTAAGTCAAATTTGAAAACATTGAGATAATTTTTTAAGTCAATTTTTTTTCATGGATTTTATTT